ACCAAAACAAAGTGAAAGAAAGTGGAATCGTAGTGGATGGATGGCCTCCCAATAAGCGCTTCTTTCACTTCATGAGCCAGATGGTTGTGCTCAAGTTTCAGTCCATCCCAAAACCTCCTTAAAGTTGAGATTCTCGTCATTGATATGGAGTTGCAAATCATGAGCATTCAATGTGACAGTTGATGATGATGGCTCGTGAATTGGTGAGAATTGATGCTCCACTCACATGACCTCTTCTTCTTTTATTCTTCTTTCTTATCTTTGCGATATACCATGTACTACAACTTCGATTGACCACCATCAAATCCACCAAAAAGGATTGATGATGGTGTGTCCTTGGCTTGGCAAAGAGAATATGCAAAAGGTTCTTTCTCTAAAAGTGTATCAAGGTCGGGTGGAAAGTTTTGGTCGTGCACTTGTGTAAGCTTCATCCACTCCAACCTCGTTCTCCTCTTGGACACCACTTATATCCCCAACCTCCCTTCCCTCTTCCAAAAAATTTTCCTCCCTTTTGCATCAACCAAGATGTTCCCTTTCTTTGATCCTCACTTCCTCCTTCTCAACCCCTTATCTCACCTTCTCATCTACGTCTTCAAGCATGGTTTGGAGGACAAGTTACGATGCAAGGTTCTTTATAAGGTTATCTTGGTCCTCCTCCCTTGTGACTTGTTCTTCAAATTCGATAGTACGATGGAGAGGGGTGTGAGTACCAAATGAGGTTTTTCTTATTCCTCCTCATCATGGAATCTCTCTGGGATGATTTCTTCTTGTTCCCCAAAGTCCTCATGGCTCGCCTCTTCGAATGCCTCTTCCTCTCCAAATGGTACGATATGATAGTGAGCAAGTTGTACACATGCTTGCTCAATAATGCCTCCTAGCCTCTCCATGTTTCAAAGGTCTCCTCCGATGCCCATATAAAAGATGAGTCAATAGAGGTGGTTGCTAGGAGTTCCACAATGAAGCATCCTTCCATGGTACCTCTAGGGAATCGCTCCACCATGAGATCCAATCGGCTCTTAGGCTCTGGTTGTGGAAGAAAGTCCTCTTGGTATGGGGAAGCTTCTTGATATCCCCTCAGGTATGGTTATTCTTCATGGAAGAGAGGTTGGTCATAGAACCCAAATCCTTGACTTCCACCATCTTGATTGCTCCATAAAGCTCCAAGCTAACCAGACTAGGGTGTTGGTGGACACCCCCACATGTTGGTGAAGTCGTAAGGATTCATGATTCACTAGCTACTAACATAAAATGCTAAAAACAAGATCAAACAAACATAAACCATCCTTCGAGCAAAGAGTGGATCAACAAAACACAATACAATAAATAGAAAACCAAAGGTGGTAAGTATATACAACAAAATTTGTTAAAGTAATAAACCTAAGCCTTTTCCCAATAACCTAAAACTCCCTGGAAATGGCATCAATAACTTTACTCATCCTAACTACAACTATCCGAATCAAAGCCCAAGCATAACCAACGACCGTGTTTAGTATGGTGGAAAAAAATATTAAAATTGTCGAACTCTAGGGTCTCTAAATGTACGTTACTTCACGTTATCGGGATAAAACCTATCTCCTTAAAATGGGTTCCACCCATTAGTACAAGCACTCGACACCCTAGCTTTACCTAGGTGGATGTCTAATAGTGAGAGTAAGGTCGCCTTGTCCACCTTACTAGAATCCTAGATCATTTATCTACACTAACATACCAAACCACTCAAAGCCAATCTAATTCATGTAATCCTAAGTAGTAGGTTATCATGAAAAGAATTCGAAAGACAAGTTCAAAACATTATTAAAAAAGATAAAGGCATAAAAACTCTAGGTAAAATCCACACATCCATAAATCATAAGAACGAGAATGATAAATCCTCAACCACCTAAATTGCAATTCTGGCAATGGGATCTAGATGATCCCACACTACTTTATGCAAGAAAGAACAAACATCAAATAGACATAGATAGGTAGGTTCATAATCATACACAATCAAGCCTTAAACATACTATTACATGTGTAACCTTAGGTTAGGGTTTGGGGGGAGGGGGCTAAGCCCCAAAGTACCTTGAGGAATTACCCAATGAAGAGTGGGAGAAGAGACATGAAAAGATGGGAAGAATCATGAATAAGGGTCTTCAAGTGCTGGAAATCCGCCTCCAAAGCTCTCATCCACTTATGCTTCTCCTATTATTCTCCAAGCATTAACTTCTCTCTCAAACCTCACTCTGGAATAAGAAATCTGCGAAAAGACACTCTACTCAAGTCCACATTTGAAGGATGGAAGATCACAGCCTTGATCTATGAGGGAGATATCATGATCTTGGTGCAATAAATTTCTCTTTGCTGGCTTGGGAGATCGTGACCTGACTTTACGGTTGCGATCTTGAGTCACAGCCGAGATCTTTCTTGTTGTCTTGGACAACAGGAGTCCCGAGTCGGCTGTCAAAACTCTCTGGTCCTTTTTTGGTGGCTGCTCCAGAAGTTCACGCCTAAGGCCCCCTAGATTGCAGGCTTGATCTCTGACTTGAAGGTCGCGATCTTTATGTCCACTTCTCGCCTCCACATTTCTACCGTGATCTTCACCCTCTAGCCGTAATCTCTCATTTTTGCTCCTTTTCATAAACTTGTGACCCCTTTTCGTACCTAAAACGTATGTATCATCTAATATACCATAAAATGAAATAATATTCTTGAAGGAACGAATTAGGTATGCATTTGATGAATTGTCAACCAATGAGACCATGAAATGACCTTAAAAGACACTAATTATAGGGGTTAAATGACACCATTTTGGGTGTTCTGGAAAACCACTTCCCATTTTCGATGATCGTAACCGTGGGTTACATGATCGTGAATTTCTAAGGTTGATCGTAATTTTCAGCTGAATTTTCACAGTCTGGGATGAAGGAAATTCACGGCTGTGACTTCTCTTTTGTTGGTCGTGACTTCTCTCTTTGGCTCTTCTTGGTCCCTTTTTTTAGTTCCAAACATCCCAAAACTCGCTCTCAAGCCTTCTCTATACACTACGACCTGAACTATGAGAAAAGAACACAACCTAACATAAAAATAGCATATGAGAAAACCAAAAAAAGATCAAGAATAGAGGGATAAACATGTATTATTACTCATGTATACACCCACCCGGTCATCTGCATATCCTAACCATCATTAGAGAATTAGGGATCAACATCGACTCCTTCATTAATCACTCTGACTTCGACCTTTACACCACTCCTCTCGTCCATAAAATCGTCATCTGTCAAAGGTCATCCTCATATGTCTTTTAGCCTTTTACGTTTTAGATTTTAGGTTTCTTTTTTTTTTCAAAGAAAAATCGTTGGGGTAAAGTTTCTAAGCTAAATTTAGAGTAATAATCTGATTATGTTCATCTGACCCATTTTTCTAGTTATACACCATCTTGTTATAAAATAACATTTGGCCGAATGTCTAAAATCAAAAAATTCATAAACGGTATACTAACTCCGGATCAAGAGGAGGATTGGGTCGTGACCTAGGGTGGTCACCCCCTAGATTCGCCACTGCCGTCAATGTTAGGGACTCCTCTTATCCCTGCAATATTCATGAATCTCTGAATCCCTACAATTTCGAGAATAAGATGGGAATAAGGTTAAGGTTTTTATACCTGTTTGACTTCCTCCTCTCGATCACTGTATATTACCCCAAAATCTCAAAAATCTTCTTCATCTCATTGCTTCCCTATTTCATTGCCAACATCGGAGCTGATCGGTCGGAGTTCCTACTTCCTAGCGTCTACTTCCTCTGAAGTCCGATTTCTTCTTCTTGTATAAACTGTCACAAACCTTTGTAAGTTGTACAAAAAGGTCATAAATCTTTAATTTGTAACAATACGGTAACAAAAGTTTGAAATTGTATAGACTGGTCACCTCTATTTAATTTGTGACTATTTTCTATTAAGTGCAAAGGTTTGTTACCAAGTCGTTGCAAATTAAAGATTTGAGACTGTTTTGATGTCAAATAAGGTGTTCATAAAGTCTATGACACTAACTACTTAAATGACATGAGATGTCGAGTCGTGTGTTCACCTATATATTTGTTTTGCCGAATAAGAATGGTCTTTGTTTACCTTTCAATTCCAACACCAATAAACTAAGAAAGTAGGCTGAGTTTTTTCTACTAAAAAGTTGCATGTAACCCATTTGTGAGACGTTGAATTCCCTAATTGTTATCTTTTTTTTTTTTTTCTGACGAGTATTGTGGTTAACACTTTTAATGGATCAAACCGTTGCAAGCCCATTAACAAACAGGTACCTTATAAATAAGAGAAATATAAATAGAATGTACCGCAATGACATAATAAACAAAATAATTAAATCTTGAAATATTTAAAGGAATTTAAATTGTTAATAAAAATGCAAGCAAACGAATATTGTACTGAAATTTTTGAAGCTTTGAATTTATTTTAAAATGATGAGGATAGAGTTAATCACTTCACATTTTCAAAGGTTCATAATATGTTCAATAAAAAGCTTATTGCATAATTTGTAGGGGTGAGCATGTGGATGGTTAATCCGCGGATTGATATTGATCCACCCGCAAATAATTTGACCCGCACACAAGGCGTGATTGATGTGGGTGGATTGCGAATCGATAAATCTCTCACCCGCACTTATGTGGATGGTTGGTGGGTGGATTGCGGGTCACCCGTATGACCCGTATCCTATTTTTTTACATGAAAAATGTTATTTCTTATAATATCAAATATTCATAATATTTTCGAATTGCACTACAGTCTGACCATATACTTCAAAAGGTGGAGAAAAAAGAATATTTTTTTTACTACTATTATTATTGGTTATTGTGTTGTGCAATATCCATAACATATTGGATATTGGTATGCAAATTATTGTTAATATCCATTAAATATTAGGATGCAAACTATAAATTATTAATTGTATCAAAATTACAAATTATAGATACAATCTTACTACCATTATAAAAAAAAAGATACAATCTTGCTAATTTGCTATGAAGTTATTATAAATTTTAGTCCACTTTCTTACTGGCCATTAGAGAATTGCTTTTACGAGTTGACCCACGACCCAACCGCATCCATCCGCCATCAACCCAACCCGCATAAGTATGTGGGTGGATTGCGGGTCGCAATTATTACAACTCGCTAGTAAACGGGTGGGTCAATTTAAGATCAAAACCCACCCAACCCGCCAATTACCAACCCCTAATAATTTGTAGGGTTAATATTTTCGTATGGCCTGAACTTTGACCAAAATAAACATCCTGGCCAATCTTTTCGATCTATAACATCCTGGCCCGAACTATACACCAAAATAAACAATTTGGCCAAACCCGATGTTTTACCGTTAACTTGGACGGTCAAACGCGTTGACTAACGGTCAACGAGCCACGTCACCGCCAAATCAGCAAGTTTAAATTAAAAAAATTCCACCTATTCCATTTATTTCCTTTCTCATTTTGAAGAAGAAAAAAAAAATAAAAAAAAAGTTCCCCAAAACGCAGGACCCTTCTCCTTCCTTCATCGTCGAACCTCCTCAACTGACCGACTAAAATGCAGCGGCGGGCGATTTTCTGAGCCCCCCGCCGTCGCCGCCACCGCCATCGATTACCACCCTGAATCACCATTAACGAATCACCATCGATTCCCACTTGCCATTAAACTCTGCCTTCCTTTCCTCTCCTCGCCTTCTTCCCAACCTTCCGACCTTCCTTCTTCAATCCCATCTCCGCCACACACAGAAATCCAGAACCCACATCTCAATTCTTCCTCCACAATAAAAGATTCCACTGTAAAACCACCCAAATCAAAGACTCCGTTTTTTTCCTGGATTCTTCCTCTCATATTCTGCCCTTCTTACCTCCCCCACAAAATCTCGCCTCAATTCCCGATCTGGGTTCCTTCCTAAGGTTGAAATCGACACAAAGAGATAGAGATTTTTATTCTCCTTTTGAAATCCCCCTCGCTCGATTCCCCTTTTTCTAGATTCTCCGCATAAGAAAAAGCATATTCTTCAGTAACCCTCCTCTGTTTTCTGCCGACTCAGAAACTGATAAAAATCCCCACTTCGCCCTTCCTTCTTCTCACACTTCACCATGAAGACTCCGTTCCTTCTTTGAACCCACCAAAAGAGAGCAAAAGAACACACATAAAAACGAATCAGTAGCCATGGAAGCTCTTTACCCGCATTTCTACATGTCGAGCCACCACCTGCTAAATGACAACAGCAGCAGCAGCCAGAGCTCGGAGTGGACTAGAGAAGAGAACAAGGCCTTCGAGAGCGCTCTGGATCTCTATGGCAAGCACGATCCGCACCGCTGGCTCAACGTCGCCGCCATGATCCCGGGAAAATCGGTCTCCGATGTGATCGAACAGTACAGGGAGTGGAAGAAGACGTGTGCGAGATCGAAGCTGGGCGCGTCCCGATCCCCGGTTACCTGGCCGCGGACGACGACGCTGCTTTCAGCCTGGACCTCATCGTCGGGCCCGACTTCGTTGATTCGTACAGAAAGCGGCCCATGGGCTCCACTAAGACCTCCGATCAGGGCCGCCATCGATCCGCCCGCCGCCCGGCGCTGCATTTTAGTCGGTCAGGTGAGGAGGTTCGACGATGAAGGAAGGAGAAGGTGAGAACGGCGGGTGAATTCTGTGGATGGGGATGAAGCGATATGGATAAGGTAGGGTTAGGGCAGGGGTCCTGCGTTTTGGGAACTTATTTTTTTATTTTTTTTTTCTTCTTCAAAATGAGAAAGGAAATAAAATGGAATAGGTGGAATTTTTTTTAATTTAAACTTGCTGATTTGGCGGTGACGTGGCTCGTTGACCGTTAGTCAACGCGTTTGACCGTCCAAGTTAACGGTCAAACATCGGGTTTGGCCAAATTGTTTATTTTGGTGTATAGTTCGGGCCAAGATGTTATAGATCGAAAAGATTTGCCAGGATGTTTATTTTGGTCAAAGTTCAGGCCATACGAAAATATTAACCCTAATTTGTATGTACCTTATTCCTCTTTGAAAGAGGTTGTGGGTTAAATCCTTAGACCATATTTTAAATATACCCAGCAGAGACAAGCCCTAACCAGTGAAAATTAATCAAACGGTTTGAATGAGTTGCTCGGTTAACCGCTTGGGCCGGTTTCCACAAACTCAACTCTCACTGAAACAGTCAGAAGTGGCACCCGAGCCATACTAGGGGTCGGTTGCCACTTGCCAATCAAACTAGCCACTAGCCGGTCCATTCCGGCTTTGATAACGGTAGTAAAAACACACTGGGTAAACGCTACATTTGGTCACTGGGATTACTGCGTAAAAAAGGACAACAGCAGGTACCTTCTATTGCAAGGAACACATTTACAAGCGTCGCAGTGAGCTGAATAGCTCCCAAAATTGATTACCTTCATCTATACAAACTAATAGCTAGCAACTGTACAAATCCCGTGACCACAGAAGACAGGAAATGGCAACAAAGGGCCTGTTAAGTTTTGCTGAGAGGCCAATGAAAATTCGCCAATTTTCTGACGACGACTGAGGTCCAAGGATTGATTCAAAATTTTACTGCAACTTCACTGGATGAACACCCTGAAATGAAGTAATGAAATAAATGAGCCCCAAGTACAGCAATGCAAAAGTAAGCTAGCACAAGCCAGAGAGAAAACTGTGCACAGTGCACACCCTAGAAATGTCTACAGCTGCTGCGTGATACTGTGAAAACTCCAAGTATGCTTGATAACTATCATTGTAGGTTTTACAACTTTTTACAGATGAATCAAATTCTTAGTCGTGCTACATATAAATACACCAAAAAATTGATAGAAAAAACACTGCTCGGCTAGTCCGACTAATACTGAAACTGTTAACACATTTCCAGCAAACATATATTATAGTCCATAAGATCTGCAACATCATAGTTCGGTTTCTATTACTGGAAAATATGCAGGTTGACAATGATATGAAAGCCTGGATTTGCTATTGAAGAACTTCAGTACTTCTCATTCCATAAACTATTATAACTAGGCAGGCAGTGAAAAACATCACATGTACTCCCTAACGCACCACATGGTACACACAAACTAGAAAGGCATTCATTACTAGCGAATGTAAAAGAAAAACAATAAGAAACTAACCTTTGTTCATTTGGGTATGGAAGGTGCTTCATGTTCCAAAAATTTCCACGAGGGTCGAACGGGATCTGTCAAAGGCATACCCACCTCTAAAATACGCTTAATCCATTTAATTTGGTTGACAAGTTCCTCCAAATCAAAGACAGCTACTTCTGCTTTGTCGGGGCACATGGAATTCAAGGAAAAACTTCCATCAGTCTTCAATTTCTTGGAGATGCTTTTAAAGGCCCCATAATCAGGGTGACCATTTCCCTGAGTTAATCCAGCTTCCAGAGTTGATGCATCTCTAACACGAGGAATTGGCACACTGTCTAAAGAACTTGTTTTACTAGCATCACTGTTTGCCACATCCGTGTCGGAATTTTTTCCAGTATTTTGCACCTTTTGGGAAACACCACTCCCAAGAGGCCCTTCTGGTTGTTGCTCTGATCTCCCTAAGGGTGGTAAAGAACTAGCTGAAACAAATGAAGCTGAAGGACCACTGTCATCAGTTGTCTGGATGTTGTCTCGCGCTTCCTGAAGTCTGCCTGTAAGCAGAACAGTTCCAATGTCAATCGATTATCATTCCAAACTCGCGGAAAGAGAGAAGCTAGCAGAAACAAAGTAAAAAAGCTGAGAGCATTCACCATCGGCTGATGCCCAATGAACACTGTCTTCCCCTTCATGAACACCCTGAACTCTGGCTGTAAGCAAAATAGCTCTAACGTAAACCAACTATGGCCACATGAAAATGAAGAAAGCATGTACAATAGTGAGGTCCGTGCAAAGACAACTTCAAGAACTCAACTAAAGTTCCCTGTATATTAAATCCTTGTCACAAACATATGTAGCAGGCAGGAGATATGGTTCAGAAGTTAGTCTGGCATTGTAGGCTAAATGAACAATTTCAACATGCTGTCCAACATGGTGATTGCCTTGAGAAATTTGGACATAGTCCAAACAAAGTCCCAGATCCTCAAACGTTTAAATAATATTACTGTGACAGTTTTCTTATGCTCGGCCATTAGTGATCAAGTCAGTTCAGAGGCATGAGATCTCTTATAAAACTAGCAAACCAAATGTTTACAATACCACACTTCCCTATGTCAGTTTTAGACATGCACAAGTAGCAGTTAGAACAGACCATTGCCTACTTACTGCTATACTGAAACTAATTAGCCAATCATGTCAAGAGAATTAAACTGCAATACAGATCCCACCTAGCTACAGGCATTCTGAAGCATCACAATATGGGTTATAGGTATAATATGCCCCTCTATTATGACGTTTTATCAAACATGTCCATCCGTTATTTTTTACATCAAACATGCCGTTGTACTTTGAAAAAAATTATCAAACATACCCTTCTGTTAAAATTTCCATTGAAAAAATCGTCAATCATGGTTGAACCGAGATTTAGACGACCCGACATCGGCAAATGAGAGCGAAAATGTCTGTTTTGTCTCCCGTTTTATTTCTCTGGGTCTCTTCAAAGTGAAATTAACTGAATTATTTGGCTATACAAAAAAACAAAAAAAAATTCTAAAGTGAAATTATTAGGGATATTTTAGACATTTGTGCCGCCCAAACCAAAGTTCGACCTTGTTAACGGTTTTTTGGATGAAAATCTAAACAAAAAACATGTTTGCTCATTTTTACAAAGTACAGGGCCATGTTTGATATAAAAAATAGTAGAAGGACATGTTTGATAAAACGTCATAGTAAAGAGGCATATTATACCTATAACCCATCACAATATCTACCATCTTAAAGGATACTCATTAGAATGCTTTCAAACGCCACTAATTCAACCATTGTCCCAAAAATGATAGCCATCATGATATCAAAACCAAAGATCTGCTTAATTAAGTGAAACGATCCAGTAAGTAGCTAATGTTTATCCAGTCTCGACTATCCATCACCAAACGGATCTAAACCTTAAAGCATATGTTCAGAATGGCCAGGGTAAATGGTGACTCATCAGGTCAAGTTTCTAATGACAGACAGTACATCTGTCAACAACCTCGAATGAACAATATAAGTCACAAGCAATACAAAAGATATATCACATGAGTATCTAGATAGGAAGGAAACGCGACACTATAAGACTGCACAAGAACCATCCAGCATGTTTCAACCTATGAATCACATAGCTGGCCACGAACATGTACATTGATTGGCTGTCAAGGAGAAAGCTAACATGTTCAGACACAAATCAGCAGATGAAAGACAGCACTCTTCTGCACATGCTAAGAAACATTTCACACAGCAATAGCATGTACCATACTGCCTGTAACTAAATAATAATACTGGTCCACATTTAGAACAGCACAATATTGTAATAAAGACAGAAGGAACGAGATTGACACTGCTAAGGAGATCATATGCTCTAAATGTTTAAATGGCTAATAAGAAATCTGAAGTTTTACCTGGATTCAAAGATTTAATTAAACGAGCGCAATGCTGGCAGTTTCCACTTCCCTGTAGTAAATAAGGATATGCCGGAATGAAATTGGTTTCATGGGAAAACATCAGAGGATAATATAGGTTCAGTTATATCTGCGCACTAGAAAATGGAGGTTGGGGATTATATATCCTTAGCCTTTTCAAAATGTTATATACGATATTCAAGAAACTTCATACTGTAGTAAGTTTCCAGTTTCCAGCCACAAAAGGAAGGACCAATGAATGAACTAGAGGAAACCAACTTGGAAAATGAAATGGCAGCAAGTGAGGATAACAGCAGGAACATGTAGTCATTTTACACCTTTCACTTTATATTGCACAAACAAACAAGAACAGTGCGCTCAGAAATCTTCTAGCAATAAGCTTTTCTACTGAAAAAATGCGTCAACAAGGTGCATGCATCCAAAATAAAGACACAATGATTGAAGTCATTTGAAGATTACAAGGGAACCACCTCAGGGATCGTCCATCCATCGAATGGTGACCAATCCAAAGCAGGTCGCAGATCTTTGCCTGAAACATCATAAGAATTCCCTTCACCCTTGGGAGGTGGCAGCAATTTGATCTGTGTAAACAGGAAAATGATTAAGATTTTGAACCACTAAAAGACACTAAGAATGAGGAATTGAAAAGCAATAGCAAAGGGCACAGAGAAAAAGCATTCACAAACAAAATCATGGGCGATGCAACATCAAGACTTGAGAAGCAAGAATAGATTTGCTCCTGGTAGGTGTGGTTCATACCAAAACCTACCCCAGGTATCAGTATCACAATCATCAATCCAATTAAGACACCCCAAGGAACTTTTAAGAGATTCTTATCACTGGTATCTTGTCACGAACAGGTTTAAACAACAAAAGAAGCAGTATAATCGAATGCCCTCCTAACAGAAGAGAATTTTGTTTACTAAGACCTCCAACAGCAGCACTGGTAGAATTATCCACATAATTGACGCTGTGACTTATTCTAATTGCTTGCATTATCGCAAAGTAGTAAGGTCAATGAAATTTACGATGAAACTACCGAGCATGTGTTTATTTATTCATTGATAGGACATGTTAATCCCAATATCAGAACCCAAGGTGGAGAAGGATATACATGTTAATCCACACCTTTATATCTAAATAACTTCTAAGTTCAATTTTAAGTCGTGATAAAAGGTTATTAGTACTTAGAACAACACTAAAACGCATCCTATACTATTTCCATCTCAACTTTTGGATCGCATTAGTTCCATGTACAACATAATCATAACAAAAAAACACTACCTCAGTCTCTTGAAATGTGATTCTACTGACTTTGATACTTAGGATTTAGAAGATCGAATCCACTATTCCACATAACAGGTCTGGCTTTGTTATGTCAAGAGAGGCTTCTTAGGCATTCTCAGAAGAGCCTACTTAAATCAGTAGTATATACATCAAGCATTTTCTACAGCCACTCACTGAGTGTGGATTTCGCAATATTAATACCACTCCAAACAAACAAACTCAGTACTACTTCCAGGAAAACTAAAAGATCTATATTTAATTCAGGACGTATCCATAAAATTAAACCAAGAAGCAATAGGGATGAACAATTTTACGAACAAAAGCCACCCATCCAAGTAAAGACTTCTCCAGAACTCGACTTCAAATTAACATAAAAGGATCATTCCAAGGCATATGATAGAGGTGTAGCTTGTGGCTATCTGCCAACATTAGGTAGCAGCATTGACTACATTACTGAACCATGAAGATTGTCAACAAGAAAATTTTCACATTAGAAGGCAGAAGCAAATAAATCTTATCCAAGAAGTTAGGGGTCGTTTGGTTTTGATGATAGTTAAATTGATGCATTGTTATCAATGCATGCATAATAATATACATGTATTCGTTTGGTTTATGTGATATAGTTACTGTAGCATTTAAATAAATTATATTACTTTTTGAGTGAAATATCACTTTTACCCTTTGTTTTTTATATAAGAAAGCAACGCACATAAAAAGGTAAGGACATAGTTGGAAGAAAAAAATACTCAACAATCTCAGTCAAACAATGTCAATCTCACCAAACCTGAGGTTTAACTATCACTCATTTTGAGTGACAATTTGTGTCATTTCAAGCAAACAATGCAGGTATTGTTTGCGCAGAAAATTCAAAAAAACAATGCATTATGGACAATACATGCATTGTAACTATATTAATCAAACAATTACCAAAACCAAACGACCCCTTATATGCAACCACTGGAAGTAAATTACTAGTCAAGAATCGAACTTTGTTGATCAGTGAAACAAATAACAAATTACCTGAAACTTCTCATTTTCTAATACTTTTGTCAATCTTCCAGTCCAATAGCAATCAGCATACCACCAATCCACCAAATCTCCTACCTTCCACATCTCATTCGCCACAACAGCGACATCTACGATGGTATCGACATCGGGCAAATTACTTTCACGATAAACAGGAGGAAACCAAGGACGCACCATTAAATGCTTTTCCCCAAGCTTTGTAGCCTTCTGATATAATTTTGTCAATCGTATCTCTGCACACACAGTTAACAAAAAGGGATACAGGTCAAATAATTCTACCTAGGCTCCAATTGATTCAAAGAGTGACTACCTACATAACATTCAGTAGCCAGCTTCTCCAATCAAAGATGCATTTCCAACTTCTAATATGGACTGATCGAAGTTCGATTCTCCTTTTCCCAACTCTTAGTTATCTTTTTACCTTATGTTAACGTTCTGCATTTCCGATTCCATTCATGTCACTTCCCTCCAAATTAACAATTACCCATCTATTTTAATGATTCCACTAATATAACTTCCCCAAAGTAAAATGTATAAAGTGTGGTAGCTAAGCTAACGCACAATGGAGGACTTACTTTCATCAGGAAAGTCAATATATTCCAAGGAATAAGCAATCCCAGCTTTCGTTGAACGTATGTTCATTATCTGACGTGGCAAATGAAGATATGAACAAGTAAATGACCTTTCTTCATTAATATGAATAGCAGTAAAAGTATTGCCATCCCATATCAGAAAACGCAGCTAGAGAACCATTTAGTGTCTTTTAGGCCTAAAATAAGTAAAAGTGGGATGAAATAGTCAGCAAATTCCAAGAGAAAAATATCTTGAACTTTACAAGCAAAACTATGTTCTAGCGCAGCAAAAAGCAACATAGAAAACAATTTTAGACTAACAGAAAATAGTGATGAGTCAAAGAAATGGAATGTTATTCATGCATTGACCTAAATTGTACAAGTTCATTTTTCTTATATAGAAGCCCAAGCAAGCACTACAAATGTTCTTGTGGTACAAGAAAAGGCACACTATTAAGAGGCACGAGTTTTTTCAGAGATGCTTGTACTTAATCACATAAAATATGGATATTTATTCATATAGACATACAAAGTTAACACCATACTTCAGTAGTTGATTCAACATTCTTTACCACCTTCACCACATACTTTAAGTTAAAGCGAAATTAAGTTACACAACTTCTTCCAAATAGGAATGGTTCGTCATATTTTGAAAATGTGACAAACAACTCCCCCTTATAGATTTAACAATCCTTCCCTTAGCGTGTATTATTGCTTATTTCGTAAAAATCTCTCGCATCAACTTCATTGTTGGAATTTTGTTATGTCCGAGATCTCAATTGTTGACAACTTTTGGGGGAATGATGAAAGTACCATCGTGGATTTCATTGAATAAGATGAATATTCAATGTAGAAGTCACAAGCATCATTTAATAAGATTACAAAGCATTGCATCTCATACCTATGCATTTTAAGTCCTATCCTTATCAACATTATTTGCATATAATTCTTCATTCATACACTAGCATGAACTTATAGCGTGATGAGACATATTTTGTCAAAGTTTTCCAAACTCTTCAAATGCCTCATGGCCATCATTCCAAAAGTAAAAACACTAGCAGATCATGAATGCTTGAATATTGGAACCAAACAAGTACCTTGCAACGAAACCATGCGCCACGATAACCATGTAGGAATGATTTGACCTCGACAAGTTGGCCCACTTTAAAGGGAAGCACATTCGTTTCTAAATCCATCAAATATTTGGACTACAAAATAACAAGCAAAAGGGGTTAGAAAACTGCATCTTCAAAAGGAAAATAATGAGTCTAGGGTTTATAGCATTTAAAGAACGTAGGAAATGCCACAACTCAACCAAGGTCCGGAGCAACATGTAAATTAACACAAACAAACATTATCGAACCGAAGAAAATCTAATAGCAATGTTCTCATATACAAAGGTTAAGCCATCGGGTAGAATCAATAGAGCTTAGTGTCTTCATTTTCACAACTAAACTCCAGCATATCAAGCGAAACATTCATCAGGAGCTCTCTGGATATGTTGCAAATATGAACTATTTAACGATGGTTTTCTTCCCTATAAAAAAATGCGAAGGGTCATTCGTTTGCTTGATTGAGAAATTGGATATTTGCCCCCAATTCATGAATTGTTACGCACTTATGCTTGAACAAAAATGATTTTTTGGCTAGTTTTTTTCTGGTGATGGATAATGGTAGAATTGTATGTCTATGGATTGACCTTGAAACATCTCCTCAAGACCTAAGATTCTAAACCTCACCAAATTTGGACAATTCTATCCCTAACATGTACCAACTCCAACAAAAAACCCATTCTTCGCCATTTTGGTTCCATTTTGTGCTCTCTCCATCCATCCCTCCCAACGATTACAAATAATAATGTAGCATAGTTTAGCATTCCTTGCTCGCTTCGCCAACTTGAGATTTCACCATTGACCCGTCTTATATACTAACAAGTGAATCTACTCAAACTCTCCAATTATCCTCACAAAATTGACATATGTGAGTTATCCAGCAAAAAAAAACTTTTAGGGGATCAACAAACTTTCTAGATGATCTTTTCTAAATAATGCATTTAAGTGCCAATATCGACCTCATAGGGTGATGCACCTTGCGCGGCTTTACCCACAATTTCTCCTTTCATTCCAGCCGATAACAATAGGATTAGTTGTGTTGTGAATTAAATTTATAACTGATAAATAGGATATTTTTTTTTTACATCGATAAATAGGATTAATGCTATTGTATTTTGAGTCATACAAGGTGTAATAAGAATTTCCAAAGCTTTGCAATTCCTTGTCATTTCTTAGACTATTGACCTCTACTACAGCATCAAGCTACTAAATCACATCACTAGGTAGTGTAAACATTCTTCTTACATCCTATACAAAAAATTATGGTCTCCACTACTTTTTAAGAAAGCATGTCTAGTTCTCCTAACATATTTATAACAATCACATATCACAATCCCATCCTGAAACATGAAATTCTTTTTGTCATGCCAGAGAGAATAAAATATTGGATTTAATGGCAAGAATAATGCTCTACTTATAAATAACTCGATTCTTAATCTTAACTCTTTTAAATTATTACGACAACCCTCTATGTGGCATGGTATGTGTGTTTTTAATTTAAGAAAGAATAAATGATAGATCTAACTACAATAAAAGATCCCAATCCATAAAGAAAGGCCAACCTCCGTCACCAATAAGACTATTGTTGCATTTGTCGTTGCCTTCTTGTCATCTCTCAATCGATTCTTTTTGGATTGCTTTCTACTCGTGCCATAGTTGCTAAACTAAGAGAAGAATGAAAATGGCTTATGAATTGAACAAACTCAAATCAACTATGAAACACAAACATTCAAGCCATGATTTGTAATATAAACCTATATAGAGTGGCAACTTCTTTCTAAATAGAACCTTAATAGATGAACCGATTATCAACACTACATAATAAAATTCAGATTTATAGTACATCTATAATAGAAAGACAACAAGAAATGGTGGAAATTTCGATATGCATCGTTAATAGATTAACCTACTATCAACAATCATTTAATATCTATGTGAAATCTAGGCAGTGTTCAAGAAGACGCGATTAATCTCTCGCCTAGGCACGATTAATAGCTAGGCAGAAGGAAATCACCCCGTCTAGCCCTGGGTGATTGATCTAGGCACCTAGGCACTACGAGGCGCGTTGTCACTCTGGTGGGCAACGCCCAAAACAACTAATAAAGAGGAAAAATATAGCCTTTTTGTGAAAATTCCAAACCCTATTCTATTTCTCATTTCCATTCGACCAGTCACTCCCCCTCATCGACCAACAGTGAGATCCCTCTTCATGGTTGGCGACTTAGGATGTTTGTGATTGTGGAAAAGGGTTGTATGTGTATATGAATGGATGAATAATGATATGGGACTTGGGTTTTTGTGGAATATGGCTTATCTATCAATTTTTTTTTTGACGTTTAATCTCGCCTAGGCAACAACTAATCGACCTGGGCGTTGGGCGGTACCTCCTCGCCTAGATAGCGCCTAACATCTTCTTGAACATTGAATCTAGGTGATTCAATTAACTATAAATCGAAACAATCCATGAAAAAAAATCAATCTCTCTTTGGTGTTTTTGGTTTGTAGTATTCAGATTGTTTGCATGATATGACGGGAAAAAAAACATTTTCTTTATTTTCAGGTACATATACACACCATATATGTATTGTTTGCTTGATGTGACAAAAACAACCATTCACAATGAATGGTTGTACAATCTCTGACTTTTTGCTGAGTTTTAAAAATAGGTCAATAGAGATCGATATCTTTTATTGTTACAACTTTAATTTTTAAAATTAACTCTTGCATTGAAAAGAAAGGGTAGAAGTGTAATGTATGGAAAACATAATCACATATATAAACGTCATAATTCACAATATACCAAAGTCATCAGTACATGTAGAATCAAATCATGGTTCAAAAAGGCTCACTTCAAATTACGTTTACGCACACCTAGGCACTAGGCAACACCAAAATTACCTCGTCTACGATTCAACAACAAGTTAGAAATTAATAATGTCACAGTGAAGTATAGCAACACCTAAGTGTTGGCTAGGTTAATGCGCTAGGCAACGTCAAAATACCTTGTCTACAGTTCGCCAACAAGTTAGAAATTCACTATGTCATAGAGAACAAGACGACACCAAAGTGTCTCCTAGGTATAACTAGGCAGAGCTAGAAAGTGAATATGAAAATGTGAAATTCACATCATTTACAAACTCAATTTTTTTTCAGTGGTAATTTGGGTGATGGACTTAAGAAATAAGACAATTTGACTCAATTGCCACAAAATTACTTATCTCACAATTGATAAATCATTTTGAAATACTTATCTCTCCCTCTGTCAATTCAAAATGATGCAAAACGAAGTAATTCAAATTGTTTAAGCTCAGTTGTTGTATCTCAGTTCTATGTTGTCAAACGAGACAATTTCACTCAATTGTTTCATTAATTCAGGCTTAATGATACATATTATACTCTTCATTTCATGATCATTGCACTTGGTGTTCAGTATGTCTTGACCTATATTACTTTAGGTTGTGATTTGTTTATCATATTTCTCGTCTAAGCTTGCCTAGGAACAAGTTAGAAGGAAAACAACTCGACTTGGCAAAAAGTAGCAGTGTAGGCGTCATGATCATGTTATGGACTCGGTAGCACCTAGTCAACATAGAGTTGTGTCTCAAAAGAATGGCATGTCGTCTTTTTTCTACCTTTTGATATTTTTTAATATGCAATGTTGGTAATCAAATCACAACCTATATTACCCTGAGATTTCTCCACGGTCTGGACAGGGAAATCCAGCAGGAGGTTGAGCTCGGGGCCTTTGTCGACTTGGAGGAAGTTCTTCACCTCGCAATTAAAGTCGAAAGGCAACAGAGAACCTCAAGGAAGAGCACTCCGGCAAGCAAGGCAGGGACAGAGACACTTGCCGAAGATAATCCCCAGCAATTGCGACCCGAGTCAGGAAAATTGAATCCAAGGAACGCTCAACCAACCTCTAATGAACGCTCTTGAGGGATACAGTGCTACAAGTGCCACGAAAGAGGGGACAAGGCCTACCAGTGCCCTAACTTGAAGACTTGGTGATTAGAGACGGCGAGTTTCTCACCAATGACAAGCAAAATTCCAGCGACGAGGAAGTTGATGAGAAAATTGAAGTCGACACGATCAGCCAGTATGTTGTGGACAAACTCGAATTAAAAACTACCAGGCATCCAGACCCTTATAACTTGCATTGGCTTAACGATTATGGACCAGTTCGAGTGTCAAGCCAAGCACGGGTGAAGTTTGAGATCAGAGCTTACCGCGACGAGCTCGAATTTGACATCACCACAATGCAAGCTGTGCATTTACTTCTTGGGAGGCCCTGGCACTTCGACCGAGGTGTATGCCACTATGGAGGGTCGAACTGCTATAAAGTTCGGCACAAGGGGTAGGAGATTCTGCTGAAGCCCCTGTCACCGCAAGAAGTCCGAGAAGATCAACGACAGCTTGAAGCCAGTCAACATCGATCCAAAGGTAAATCAAGTGGTAAATCCATCGAGGGAGACAATGTCATCACTCTTATCACTCGGCGATACATGTTGACTTGGTACAAGAAAGGAAGATTCGTCACTGCCAACCATCGCCGAAGCAGAGCCGGAGAGAGTGTGAATTGGTCGAAGCAACTGACGAAGAGTCGATCCAAACGGCGACCACAGACACGTTACAAATTGCGCCTGGAAGCTCAAATGAAAGTTGGATTGGGACGAACATACATGGATTCCAGAGTCTAATTCGAGCAGAAATTGCTCTGAAAAACGGCCGAACTCGAGCAAAAATAGAGTCTATGGGTTGGAGTGATTGGAGGTGCTTCGACTCAATCGGCTCTTGCAGAATCATTCAGGGCAATCCCAGAAAGCTTTCAAATCATTCAATTCAACATGGAATCCTGTATCAATAACACCCAATTCACGATTGAACTTTCTGGGTTTGGAGAATTTGAATGACGACAACAGCAGGAAAGAAGCTGGCCACGATTCAATGACGAAGACGATGATTTGAGGCACGAGATCCATCTAGAACTTCAATTCGAAGCAAAAGGAAGCCATTGGTGGCCTTGAATTGGACTGCGGATCCCTGAATGCAAAAGCCACAATTTTGCACATGAAGAACACTGACCTCGTTTTTCAGAATTGCGAGTTGGGGAACCCATTTTCAGACCCCATTTGGGATCAATTCTGTAAGTCATATGAGAAAGGAAAGGCCAAAGCTTTGAGTTCAAAGCTTTTTTATGGGGGAGGGACTAATATTATCTCAAATTGGTCCTTAATCAAGCTGGTGTCACCCTCTACACGTTGACATGCTTTGGAGATCAATTGCAACCCAGAAGGTTGTTTTATAGCCTGTGCAAAAGTGGAAGTTGTAACCGAAAAACTGGCAAAAAAAGATTGAAGGCATGGAGACAGTTTGAGGAGGGGACTTTGAAGCTCGATTTCTAGAAATTGAGGAAGAGTCGATTTTTCAGGTTCTTACCTCATGAAAGTAGGTTTCTTCTGCTACAACAACATGGCACTGGATGACTGGAATGAAGACTGGAAGGCGTCGAACAAAAGCTCCAAAGATCGTATCAAAACTGAGTTTCTGTCTTTGGA